ATTGTTACTCGGGTCCCTAAGCTTACATTGAAATCTAGCCATCGCATCTGATCAAATTATTGACTACGGCAGCCCACGTAAACAAAGGTTCCTTTGCTATGAGAAAGTATGCACTGCATATGAGAGCATAACTATAGAGTCATAGATACTGACGATGTCCAGCAAGCGGCCTGTATTAACATGCTACGAGCATGGCAAAGAAATTGCTGATATGGGGCAAGCGATTGAATATCTCAGGTCGAAACATGTCGGCTTTATCAGGCGTCCTGGGCGCCTCGGACAAATGGATGCACATGGGCACTACTGGTACTGCTTTGATTGCCGCACCGAGCTGAAAGATCATCGCAGTTTCGATTCCGATGAAGCAATGTGGAGTCACTTGAAGAGCAGACACAGCTGTGCGATGAACTAAGATCCTGGTTTGTCGTGGCCTTGAGTCGCTATGGCTATTTTAGCCGATGGAGAGATGTCTTGTTTCGTCAGACTGTACACAATTTATAGCTGATGTGATTTACTGCTACTCGTAATATTGATATAGATCCCAGGTAATTAATGGAGCTACAATCAGTCGTCAACTGCCAAGGTTAGTCCATGTGATCTCTGGGGCAGGGTAACTTCGATGACTAGAGTAGCGCCGTGACGCCTTGACGGCTTGCACAATCTCGGCCTCCTTATATAGGACGCGCGAGGCCTGGATGTTACTAGCATTTAAATGGCCGCTTGAAAATTTACAACTCCGCGATGAATCCACCCTTGACAGATTTCATATGCAATAAATGAAAATGTAATTTAATCCTTTTCATTGCTTTCAGACATCTTAGATCCATATTCCGCATGTCTCTCTACTTTCTTTCCCTTTTTCGGAGGTTTTGCCCAAGACTCAACCATTGCACGGTACGTTCCGTTTCAACCCTGCAAGTGGATTGCTAATGTGGCCAATCCCATGAAGAACTCCACTACTCACTCTGAACCATTTCCGTTATGCAACTCTGATCAGTACTCCTAGCATTTACCATTCTCGAAACTCAGAATCGTTTCCCTATTTCTATCCCGCCTCGATAACATTTTAAGGGTACAACGATCCAAAACAAGCTATTCAACCGCATCTCAACTACACTTGCTATTATCATTGAAGGTAGTGGAATATGTGTCATCATCTATATACAGAGATGGATACCATCAAAGAAGATCAAAGAAGCTGTCAGCTGAAACCTAGCTTCCGTCGCTTCTAAAACCAATTAATATCAGATGACATAAATATTAATTCCAATGACAAACGCCAAAGTATTCTTAGACATAGCTCAACTGAATAATAATAATGCCTCGTGCCAGCTGGGCACTACAATGTCTAGATCCTATTGTCTTTTGTCGATTGGCATACCGACACCGAAAACCAGTGGCATCACGCTCAACTGTATAATTGACCAGCATAGCCAATGGCTTGCTGAACAAATGAGTACCCTACGAAGATGGCTCGCTATCGACTCAGTGAGTTTCCAAAGTCATAACCTGAAAATGGACATCCAAACTTACGTTATAAAAGCACAACGGGCTCGCTCACGACGCTCAAAGCATAGAATAACCAAACAGCGCAGTCGTCGACTGCAGTTGAAGAACGAGCGATGCGTAGTTGGAACTCTGAAGAATTCAAGCCAATCAATATCCGCAGGCGATCCAGGCGGACGTGTGTACCTGCACTTTGTGAATAAAGACCAATACTCTCTCCAGGATAGTGAAGGGAGCAACGTCCGTTGGGAGAACGTCATTTTCAAGGAAGGATTTGATGCTCAGGATATTGACCAACTGGCGGAAGAGGTGGTTGGAAAGATCCTGCGCCGGTTAGAGAGGCAGTATTCTGTAGGCGAAATATAAGTAGGTCAGGGTCTTAATGAGTTCCGGTCGACTTCACATTGAAATCTGTTGTTCCAGGCCCTTTCATCATACACGATTTATGCAAATCTTCACATCAAACCAGAAGCATCATATCATTCCAGTGTGTAGGAGATGTCTATCAACATGTGACAAGTCGCCATCTAAAGTCCGCAAAGCCGTAGGCTGCTCTGTTCCGAAGTGAAAGCGCGAGAATATGGAGAGCATGACGGGAGGCTCTTATTGTTTCCCTAGCGCCAATAGCATCTTAGTATTTCACTATCTAAGCATTGAACAACCTATAGCTCGATAGATGAAACTCTACTGTATTCGCTCGACAAGACATCATATCGGCATCTTCAGCGTTGCCTCTGGGTCCGTTACAATTCCCCAGTCTCCTCCTCTCCATGAACTTGGGAGAGTAGCCAGTACCAGCGGCTACATTGAGCCAATCATTGACTGACAAGGAAGTTTAAGCCAAGGTTTTCCCATGCTTTTTGACTCCAGCTAGGATTTTTAAGAGACGCAATAGATAATTGTTATTGTCTTTAGGTCGCGTCTGACGCCACAGGCCGCAGGACAGCGGCAGGGGGAGGAACAGCCAGGCGACTGTAATGCTTCAGTCACTACGCGAGGCTTTGCACGCAAGGTACTAGATCGTCAATCCAGTAGCACTACGGGCTGACAGCAGCGACGACGATGACGACAACTACAGCAGCAGTACGGCCGGAGAGGGTGATAATGACGGTGGTGATACTATACTGCTTCGGACCGTCCAGGCGTGTGAGGAGGGTCTGCAGAAAGTAGAGGTAAAACGGCAGCGCCGGGTTGAGGCACCTGGCGGAGTCGACACCGATTCGAGATAGGTTCAGTTTATGAAATGGTCGGCGCACTTGCAGCCGAGGGACAAGATGATGCTGCACCAGGCCGGACTATCGCCGGCTTCTGCTACAGTTGAGCAGCGGATGTGGCCCCGCGAGCGCCGTGAAGCGAACTAGAGGCTACGTGAGCTAACAGAGAGCTTCCGGCGCGAGCTTGACCGGTGCATGGAACGGCTGGATAGGTTGCCGGACGAAACGCCTGAGTGGCTCGGCAGCATCGACCCGACCAAGCCAGTGTCGACCCCATATTCGAGAAGAGGCGTGAGACGTTGGAAAGGAAGAGGACACCAAAGTTCACGACTTGAATCCTACAAGATGAAAAGACCTTCTATCTCCAAGAATCATCCGCCTGAAATTGCAGCAGGTAGTCATCACGTTTTGCTTGGAAAGATTGAGGCAGTGATACTGGCGATACCAGTCGTTGATGACATTTCGGTCGAGGCCTTAGCGAAGTTGAGAAGGCAGCGCCTTACAGCTAGATCTGCTGATTGTGCTGAGAACACTACCTTCATCGAACATATAAGTCAACTTCGGCGGCAAAACCGACGGCATGAAGAGCATTCCTGCGAAGATGGCCCCTGTACCTATAACTGTATTCATACCACGAATGCCGCCCTGGAACACGCACTCCGGCTGCTCTTTCGTGATTGATGGAGAGGCCATATTCGATACCTGAGAGCAGACAAGTAGGGCAACTTTGATGACCGAAAACTTTGACCTTTCACTTCCTATCCAGAGAGTGGTGACATAGCCAGAAGCAGCCAAAATGGGTGCTGATGACCCCTTCCTTTTCAACTTTAGCTCATGAGCTGCGAACCATCCTAGGCAAATCATCTTTTGCAAGTCGCCTAGTAGTGCCAACATGCCGCGACGTTGGATCCCTACTGCCAGCCCATCCCGCGAGCAACGGTTCCGGAACTCGTGTCAAATCGCCAACAAACAGCATAGCACTCGTTTCCCACCGCCGGTATGCCTATGGACATCCCCTCTCACTCTCGCCATACGCACTTCAAGTCCTAAAGCCGGGAGACCACACAGACATGCACAAGACTTAAGTCAGAAGCGCAAATGGACTGACTGCACATGAGATAAGATGAGATTATATTTGAATCAGGGCAGGAGACTCGGCAGTGCGCTCTACGCTTGCCGCGCACTTTCTTGATCCAGACTGTCTGGTATGGAGGACTACCTCAAAGAAAGCTTTGACCTCAAGCCACGTTTGGCCAGATTCAGGTCTACATCGGAGTGTCGATTCAAAGAGTTATCATGACTCATCAGTGAGGTCTGCCGCTCGAAGAGGCCTTTGGTCCGCCCTCAGTCACCATTCCATGCGCGGCCAATGAAGGGTTGCCCCGAAGAGGGCATGAGAGTTGTTATACTGGTGGAGCTGTATAGGCAAAGGGGCGGAACTGCCCGAGTATGAAGACTGAGCACATTGGGTCCTCTACAGATCGATGAAGTGATTGTTTTCTGCCTACTGCACTGCCTCTGCATACATCCTCTCACCTCTGAACATCACCTTCAAGCAACCCAACCTGAACAATCCACCAACATGCGCAGGGCCAGCAATGGATGTTTCGTTGTATTGAGCCCGACACTGATTGCAATAACTCTTATAAGGGCTGTCGAGATGTCAATAGGCTGAAAGGTGATGACCCAGGCATACCTCCATTGTCTAGAGGTCAAAAATGAAGTCTATGAATGCCCACGGGCTTTAAACTCAAATTACACTTTTGCATACTCCCTAGGTTAGATGATAAGACCTTTGGCGTAGTCCAGTTACGAAGAACTTTGAGCCGTGGAAGCACTAATCAGGAAATTCTTCATGATATGTGGGAAGACTGCTCCTGTTGATGTGACCAAGAGCCAGGCAAGTCCGTCACTCGATCTGTCCGTACATACAATATGTGAGCAGGAACTAACAAAGAATCAGTATCTTCCCCTCTAACTCTACATCTCGCAGGAATTTATCCAGCTGGAGTAAAATATGCTTCATCTAGAGGAGCAGGATATCTAATGACCAAAAAGCAAACAACTGAAAGATGTCAACAGTTGCATAGAGTGATACTGTTAGATGGGACGGCTCAGTTGAACCGCAAGCGTATATTGCATGTTGTCAAATAAATACTGTTACATGAAATTGCCAATGCCATCATACATACTGCACTGTCTTCACCAAGCTCCCGGTACTGTTATCCATCTGGCTTGGTGCGTTCCGCTCCGAATAAATCCTGCTTCCATCGGGTGCGCCTACGCTACTCCGTCCTCCCCCAAACCACCCTCAACATCAACTTGGGCCTGTTCCTCTCTGTACCGTCCAAACGCCTCCTCCACCCATTTCCGATACGTCATCGCAATCCAATCGCCAATCCTTCTCAGCGATGCAACAAGTTGATACAAGCCCAACAGCGTCCTAGTATCTCCAATAGACAGCTCCTCCGCAATTTCAATATGATTCTTGTGTAGAGACGCAAAGGAAACATGCCACTCGTGCCCGACAACGTGGATGAGCGGAATCGTGGGCACGTTACCACCAGGGACAAGTTCTGAGACTCTCTTGAACCAGGAAGCTGTCCAGACCGATAGCTGTAGCTTTCCTTGGTTTGCCGACGTTGCTGTTTTCGTCTCGATGTTGCATGCAATAGGGGCGAAGCGCAACGGCGCATATGTCGACTGGTTGACGAACTGAGCCTCAACAGGCTGCCTCCAAACCGTCTTTGCAATCTCATCCATTAAGTGAACATCTGCTTCTGGAACAGCCGCATCATGAGACGTAGTCCGCGGACTTCCTCTGTTCAGCCACAGAAGCAGTGTGAAATCGATCATCTTACTCTCGACTACAGCCGCTTTTCCATTCGCTGTTGGGACAAAGGGCGATGCGATCTTGGCTGATAATGCTGGCTCGACGCGGATGGTTGGATGGGCTGATAATGCGTGGCGTAGGATGGGCATGTGAACCCACATATTCCAAGAAGCTTCGGAGCAGTCGGAGAGTTCACATTGCTCTGCATCGGACTCAATTTGGCGCAGAAGGTCGAGTTCTTGCGTTAGGACACTGATTCTGGTAGACTCTTGCGGATTCTGGGGCTTTTTGAACCATCCGGGTTTGACGCGGCGGATGACTATCTTGACATGATCTATCATCTCGCCCGGGATGAACTCCTCCTTGTCGTTGATATCCTGCAGCTTCTCAAAAAGGTAATGCACATCAGGCGGGAGAACATCAACTCCATCGTCTCCAAGCTTGACAAAGTCGACGGGCACGTCCAAAGCTTGGAGGCTGTTGTTGTTCTTGACAGGACTCTTTGCTCGACCTTTCCTGCCGGGCGATGTTCCAGGCGAAGATTGTGACGCAAATGATGATTCCGATGGTGGTATGCTGGGGACTTTGCCTAAGCGAAGAGGCATAGGATTGTCGTTGAAAAGTGGAGGTGCAGATGCAGATGCCTGGTTTGACCTTGGTGTTGCGTCAAGATCCTCTTGGTCCTGGTCATTGGACGCGCTTCGCTTTCGCTTTGGTGAAGGTCGTCTCCCAGACATGCTGTCGTTGGACGGGGGCGGAGTGAAGCGCGACCAGCTCCTGTGAGAACGTTTGCGCTTGGTGCAGTGAGGTTTCTGAAGGGGATATATGTCAGGGTTGTTGGTGTTGAATGAGTCTGGGATGGCGTCAAGCCATTGCTCGACGAGCTTCTCAAGACTCATGAACAGCGAAAGATTGAAGATATGCTGTGGTTGTGTTTGCTGGTTATGAGATGACGTGGCGATGCTGGTTATCGATGATGACGATGCCTTGATTGACCCGCGATAGCTTGATGATGTTTTGGGTGAGATTTAGGTGGCCCGTTGACTGGACGATGCGGTCGGATAACAGTCGGCTAAACTACCATAACACTCAATTCGTTATAGTTTGATCAAGTAATGGAAAAGATTATGCTAGAATGATCTACAAAGAATAAATAATATTCTAAAAACAATAATATCTAAGAGTATATTGTTTTTATCTTCTGATTGCGATAAAACTCATGTTCTTGCTTCGGGTCATGCTAGCTCAGACAGTTGCCTCTGCGCTGCATGACGTAACCTGCAGGATGAACGACATGAGCCAGTCAATCAATTTAAGGCCAATTCAAGAAATAAATCTCACCCCGGGAGACAAGAGAGAATAGGCACAACAGTTATAAATAAATTGAGCAAAATAATTCTCAAAATAAAGTTAGTAGCAAGTAACAAATTTCTTCATCGTAACTCTCAGTGCCAAGTCCCTGACTGGTAACCCAGCGCTCCATCATCGCCGCCCACTACGGATGAAGCCTTGAAGTTACCCGGGACCAATTGGCAACAACCAGTTCAAATTGGATTACACACCTTCCTTCGTCATCACACTTTCTTGGCATACAAGTGTTAAGAAAGTGGCCCTGTCTACACCAAAATCCTTAACAAGTGCACAACAAACATTTCAATCTGCGCTTTGCGCAGTCGCAAGTCGCAGCGATGGCTTCTCTCCCGTCCCCCCTCGGCCCCGCCCTTGATCTAGGGGTCCACACTCCCGCTAATCTGAACCGAAGAGCCCGTGCAGCCCTCTTGCAGAACAGCCCCGCGGTCGTGAACAGCCCCATTGGTGTTTCACCCAGACCTGGGCGGACGGCCCAGACACCGTCCCGCCACTCAACGCCGCCCCCTCGAGTACGAAGAGCTGAGCGTGCCAATCCCGCATCGACCCCTGAACAGCAACCAATCTCTATTATCGAATCGGCCAATGATCTCGCGCGTAAACACGCGGAAGAGTACGACGCCAAACTAATGGTCTTCCAGGCCTTCTGGCGCCAAGCTTGAAGAAGCCAACAAGCAATTCACCTCCGACCGCCGACGTTTCGCTCAGAAGTTTGTCGACAGCGTCCTGCGAAGAAGTTCTAGCGATGTACCAGGTTCTAAACCTACCTACAGCAGTGTCGCCGCCGCCTCGCTCCCCGCTGACCGCGCCCGCACAGCCCACCAGCATCATCATCATCAAAAACAAAGCACCGACAAAGGGCCCACCTCATCGCCAAGAGCAACAAAGCCCCCCCGCCCCCCCCGACAGGACCTCCGCGTCTTCGTCCGTCTAGAAGCCGGAGCTCCGGCTAGGGACCATAGCGGCTATGCCATCCGGACCCTGATCAGGGAAAAACTCGGCACCGTCTCGGAAGGTCACCAGTTTCGGTCAGGTCGGGATTGGCAGTCCTTACTGGCCGACCATGAAACACGCGATTTTCTCGTAGAGAAGCAGGCCGAGTGGGCGGCTGAGCTGGGAGCTACGGCGGTAGAAAAAAACAAGGAATGGCATACTTACGTGGTCTCAACTTTCCCAGAAGACTGACCGACTTTCGCGGCAACGAGGTGGATAGTGACAGCGTTGTCAGTGATGAGATAGAAATCCAGACAGGGCTCAAGCCCGTTGATATACGTCCTGGAAGACAATTCTCGGATAACCCTTTGACCAAGGCTCTCCTTGTCTCCTTCCTGAAGCCCACCAAGAAGAGGTTCTGGTCCCTCTTCGGGAGCCGGGCGGCCAGACTCGTAGACAAAAGCGACGTACCCCAAGCAGTGCGAAACGTGCTGGGGCTACCACTTTACCCGCAAGTGCCATAGACAGCCAGTCTGCCAACGCTGTGGCAAGACTGGCCACTCTGGAGACGACTGCGCTGCATGGGAGCAGTGCGTCAATTGCTTAGCCACGAGCGCCTGTACGTGTCACCCGGCCGAAGAAAGTGCGTGGCGTCCTCCGCCGGCTCAGCAAAGAACAACGGGAACACATCAGAATAGTGGGCGCTGAGACGTACCGACAACGTCACTTGGATTCACAACCAGAATCCCACATAGAAATCCGACAAGACACGACCGAGCTGCTGAGGGACGATACCCCAGCAGACGAACGTCCAGACGCTCGAGACTCGAGCCCGGCCGCGTCACGAGCACCTTCGTGCATCATGGTGGCCACCGCCCCCAGGGCGGGTTATGAAATGGAGGAGCCCGAGCATCCTAGACCAGGCTCGCCACGAAAGCGTCGAATTGTACTCATTACTCGTCCTCATGACCAGGAATAGATATTCGCAGACACGAAAGAACGACAGGAAGCCGCTCAAGGTCTTCCAGGCCAATGTCGGCAAGATCCCTCCGGCTCACGACTGCGCTCTGGCACTGGCTGACTCGGAACGATATGACATCGTGCTCCTGCAGGAGCCGTGGACAGCCCATACGAAAACGCGCTGCCTGACGAAGACCCATCCTGCTTACGACACGTTCACGCCAGTAGAGTCCTGGGACAGTAACGATACTCGACCTAGAGTGATGACATATGTCCGACGAGACCCAAGGCTTCTCGCTGACCAGATACGACCGTTCCAGACTCGCGATATTCTCTGGATCACAATCAATGGCGTGACTGTAGTCAACTTCTACCGCCAGAACGACGAAAGGGATGCCCTTGACACGCTGCTTCGATGGCCTGTCCCGGAACGCTGCCTCGTCGCTGGCGATTTCAATGCTAGACATCGAAGCTGGCAGACAGGGCAGACTACGGACCGCGGCCAAGAGATTGCCGGTTGGGCATCAGAGAATGACATCGACCTGCTTAACACGTTAGATATCCCAACAAACCCACACGGCAACACAATCGATCTCGCTTTTGCCAACATCCCACTTGCTGAAGCCACTGTTGAGGACCATCTCGCCACTAGCTCCGACCACTTCACCCTCAGCTTGACTCTCCCCAACATAAAGCCCGCTCCACTACAGCCGGGCAAGATTCGAGTGACGACAGAAGATGAGCTTAAACGATTCGTCGAGATCGTAGAGCTTGGAGCCACAGAGATCCCCCTCAGAGATTCAACGCCCGCGGAGCTGGACAATCTTGCGTCTTCACTTGTAAATCTGCTAACATCAGCAGCGAAGGCAGTGGGTCGGCCCTCACGGAAAGGTGGCTGCCCAGCTCCATGGTGGACAGAAGAGTGCGCCTGTGCCGCGGCTGCATTCCGGGCCATCAGAAGGAGGCACCCCCTCAGCTTCAATCAGGATGTTCAGATCGCCAAGAGAGACTTTCATCGCGTGGTCCGCCGAGCAAAACGAAAGTACTGGCGGGAACTCATCGATAGCTTCTCCAGCAGCAGTGCTGTCTTCAAGACCGTCCGGTGGCTGAAATCTCCGGGGCCCTTCCAGCCGCCTCCCCTGCAGGTCGACGACGCTGTATACGAAACTCAGATGGACAAGGCGAGCGCACTTCGGGGAGCGTTACTGGAACGCCGAACTTCTGATGACGATATTGGAGACCCCTGGACACCAGTCTCTCCTCCTCGATCGATCACATTCTCACCCGAAGTCTCCCTAGACGAGGCACAGCATGCGACTATCCATACAGGCAATACTTCCCCTGGGGCGGATAGCATCACCGTCAATCTTCTCAAAGCCGTGTGGCACATCGTCGGGACGCATATCCGTCGTTTGTTCGAAAGGTGCCTCTCCTTGGGTCATCACCCGGAACCATTCAAGCAGGCGGAGGTGGTCATGATCGCGAAGCCGGGACGACGAGACCTCACAAAGCCAGGGGCATGGCGACCCATCTCCTTGCTCTCCTGTCTCGGAAAGGGGCTGGAAAGATTGATCGCTCGCCGCTTGGCGTGGGCAGCTGTTCACTATGGCGTCCTTCATCCACAACAGGCGGGCGCTCTCCCCAAAAGGTCGGCAACAGACCTGGTGACCGCCTTGATCCACGATATCGAAGAAGCATTTGCACGCAAGAAGGTGGCCACCCTGGTCACGATGGATATCCAAGGTGCCTTCGACACCGTCATGCGCAAGAGACTAGTCTTGCGTCTCCGTGAACAGGGCTGGCCCGACCATCTCGTCAGATGGGCTGAGTCCTTCATGAAGGATCGTTCAGCCCGCGTGAGGTATCAAGACACCCTCACGCCCTTCGCTCCTCTCCAGTGTGGACTGCCTCAAGGCTCACCAGTATCGCCCATCCTCTTCCTGCTCTACACTGAGCCAATCCACCGACTAGGCAACCCTCAGGGCCGCTTCGGCTACGCAGACGACACGGCTATCCTTTCTATAGGCGACACAATAGATGAAACCACTGCAACGGCCTCCAGCTCCATCGGCGAGATGGTTCGATGGGGTGCAGCAAATGGCGTTTCGTTTGACCCGAAAAAGACCGAAGTCATGCACTTCTCTCGCAGCAAACTCAGGACCACGCCGGCTATACGCCACGGCGATGTCGAGAAGCACCCCGAGCCAGCCATACGCTGGCTCGGCATCTGGCTTGACAGCAGGCTATCGTTCCGCGTTCACGTCGAAAAGTGGGCGGCCAAGGCGCATGCCGTCGCCTATCATCTACGGGGTCTCGCCAACACGATACACGGCCCTCTCCCAAGCGCCGTGCGAAGTGCCGTCATGGCTTGTGTCGAGCCGGTACTATTGCATGGATCTGAAGCCTGGTACCCGGGCACCACCAGACCGCGATGGAGTCAGCCTAATAGAGACACGCCATCGAGCAATCAACATCTCATACAAAGAATGAACAAGGCCTTACACCAGTCCATGAGAGCCATACTGCCCATCTGGAAAACGACGCCCATCACCATCCTCCACCACGAGAGCGGCATACCGCCAGTTGATCAACTCTTGGAAAAACGGCGATGGAGATTCTCCGCGCGGCTCAAATCACTTGACGACGCTCATCCTCTTGTGCGGAGAACGTTGCCAACCCGTCAACCTACCTACCACGATCTCATAAAGCGAAGGTATCAACAGGCAGAAAATAGCTTTAGAACACGACTCCGACGCACAGATGAGCTTCTTGTCTCGTGCAGGCGTCCTAAGCTCCTCCAGAAACGCTTCCAACAAGAAGAGATGCCACCACTGCAGACAGCATCAAAGGAGAAGACAGCCAAGGCCTTTCTCCGCTGGGTCAA